GTATTACTCTTACCTTTATGAGCAAAAATGACGGTTGTTTCCACTGTTATAAGAACAAAATGCAAGTGATCGTGCTGGCGACTCCATGTCCTGCAAAGCGCTCTTTAGCTTCTCTGCACAAATGATTGGATACGCGCCTAATAGCACACATTTGTTCTATTATACAGAGTTTTGTGAAATAGATTTCAATGACTTTTCCAAAACTTTCTGGGTTTATTTATTTTTCCAAAACTTTTCCAGGCCTGGAAATTGGTGTTTTAAAATTCCATGACTTTTCCAGGTTTTTCATGACCGTACAAACCCTGTCTCTAAAGCAAAGCAGCATGGCCTCGCCCCTTTTGCTGCCTTTTCCCGGGGGTGGTGTTTATCTGGGTTTGTGATGTCACGAACCCGGGAAGTAACTCGTTGTAGTCCCTACCAGCCGTTTTTGTAGGCATTAAACTGACAGCATTTTAAAAGACGATATCTCCGTTTGCATTGAACTTTCAGCGCCGCAACTTTGCAGATATTGTTTATGCTCAAACAGCAACATTACACACTAACTAACGTTAAAAAAGTGAAATCACAATCAACCACCTAACATGTTAGATCTAATCAAATGCAAATATGAATACAATTTTTTCATTGGAATATTCAGTTTCATCTCATGGGGAGCTGCTTTTCTGATTAAGGGTATATATGTGCTTTCGGAGTTAACTTGAAATTATCCAATACTTGAACGATGATTTTTACAGTAAACCAGCTATATTTATTCTATGCCTGTGAGATTTACCTCAGATTTTTCTGCGTATGTCTGTCTCAGTTGCTCCACCTCAGTCTCCAGCTGAGTAATTGTAGACATAGCGTCTTCATACTTTTTCTGCAGCTCACCTTTCACCCTCTTGCAGTCTGTTTGTTCACGATGAAATTCAGCTGCCTCTGCATCCCTATAACCCTGAACGTATCAATACCAAACATTAACAGACACAGAAAATGTACACACAAACTAGTGCAACACTGACATTGCTTCATCCATTATCATCATTTTATTTATTCATTTAAAGATGTATTCATAAGGAACATCTGGTTTTACCTTGAGAATATCTAAGGTGGTCATTTCAGTCATTATCAGGGACTTCATTTTGTCTATCTCTTTCTGCCCACCAAAAAGAAAAGACATCAAAATAACATCACCTGATTATGAAGCACAATTTGGCAAACAAGACAAAAACAAAATCCAAAGCAGCTCAAAAGTGACTATAGTCTAATTCTCTATAAACACATTATCTTAACAGTTGTATTCGATTTATTGTCAAAAGAGACCAATAAAGACATCAAAGTACTACTGTTCTAAACCTCTTATGTAAAATAATAGTTTAATAATTGTTTACAGAACTATTTATTAGTTAAGTAATTATTTACTCACCTTCATGTTTTTCTAATTTTTTTTTATTTTTTAAATAAAGCTACTGTATGGCTTCAGAAGACTTGGAATATAAAGTACGAATCATACGTCCTAGTTTGAAGCCTATTTTGAAGAGTGTCACTCTTAAAAATAAATGTGGGGGGGGGGGGGCCCGGGGGGGTTCCCGGTGATCCAAAAAAAAA